CATGCACCCTTCCCTACATCTGGTCAGGTTGGGGCTGGGCCATGTCCCCTTTCCTCTGTTCTGGCCAGGTTTGGGGCCAGGCTACACCCCCTTTCTTCCACAGGGTTGAGTTACACTTGCTTCTCCCCTTGGGCTGGTTTGGTGCTGGGTCATTCCCCCTGCCACAGGACCAGGTTAGTGGTGGGCCAAATCCCTTTTCACAGCTCTCCTCCGTGCAGCTGGATGGGGCCCTGCTGTGCCTGCTCAGGTCATTGGATTGGGTCCACTGATACGTGGAGGGATTGGACGCTGCCCATTCAGCCTAGTGGAGAAAAAAGTTTGAGCACCACTGATCTAGTCCTAAAATATCACTGGCTTATGGTCTCGCTCCTTTGTTCAGCCATAGTCATTAATTTGCCTACTATTGAGGCTGCAAATTCTTAGAAATAGATCAGAGAGGATTTCAGGTAAAAGGGTTTTCTGGCTCTTGTTTTACACTTATGTTACATGGAAGAAACAAATTCCAAGTCAATTGTCTGCCAGCTGATGGTTGTTTCCTAGAGAACACTTTCTAGAATCTTGTCAGTTACAGTTGTAACTTCCTAGGAAGAGATGCTTCTGTCACTTTGCTTTTGGAGAATATTCTTTGGGGAAAATAGATTTTATTCCCAAGAAGTCTTTACCAGAAAAATTCCCTTAGTTGGGATTCTCTGTTCTTTCTTTACTTGTCTACCATCCTTAATGACTGCCATTTTGTTTCTTTTAGTCAAGAATCTTTGTTTTACCTGCTCTCTTCAACTCTGTTCTATTCTTGAGACTCGCTATCCTCAGTCGACTCTTAATGAGTTTACTATGTGTGTGTGTGTGCCTGGTATACTATAATTTTGTTATATAAAATTATAAATATTTTTGGTTACAGTTCTCTGAACTCGCTTGAATTTAGGAAATGAAGCAATGTAAAATGACCAGGCAGGGTTTAGTCATGCTGAGTCACAAAAAAGTGTCCTCTGAGAACAAAAATCTTTGGGGCAAAGTGTTTTGAGTCAGATCAAGTCACCTTGATGCCTGTAGGAATCTCAGTAGGATTAAAAATTCTTTCCTGCTACGTTAATTTCCTGTCTTCCTGAGAGGACAGACAAAGCAATCGTACCTACTATTAAAGGGAAAAAATTTGAAGTTCAAGACTTATATTTGGAATTTCCTGATTTATGAGGGCAGTTGTTACCTATGGGGAAAAGAGAAAGCCGGGGGAGAAATCTTGTTGATAATCATTTAGATTTCGGAACATATGATTACAAATATTTAATAGTCGAAAATTTCTATCCTTTGGTATGGCCTTCTGAATAAAATCAATACACTGGATAAATGCATCAGTTGGATACATTTGGGAACACGGTAGGCCGTAAAAGAGTTGGTAATTTAAATACCAACTTTTAAATTTCATTTAATTCTCAATTGAAATATAACAGGAGTGCAAATTTCCTGTTTGATGTTATGTTTTTGTTTTTATTGATTTTAGTTTAGCTTATTCTGAGTTTTATCTTTCACAACAGAAAGTGCCTAAACTGTTTTCAGCTTTTTTTTCCATAAAATTTGGGGTTACTATTGCTGAGACCTTAAATAATTAGAATTGGTAGAGCTTTTATATAAGGATTTTTGGTATTTCACTGAGGTCAATTAAAATGTACATATTTAGTGAGATTTAAAGATGGTGATATTCAGAGTATTCCTGGTTGAAACAAGATGTTTTGCGAATTAATATGCAAATTCTTAGTTTTGTGAGAACTAGCCTACGTGCTAACCCAGGTGCGTGGAAGGTTTGAACTTGAAAAGCAGCAGGAGTTTCTGACTTAGTTTTCTAAAGTTAGACACTTTGTTAATAGTTGCACTAACTTTTCTCAGCCTTAACTGAAAAACGGCTGGGCGTTTTGCTTCCACTTTTCTGTAAGAAACTTCATCTTGGGCCTGAGACCGAAGCATAGGAATTTTCAGTCCTAGCCCAGCTCTTCTCTTTGAAGAAACCTTTAAAAGGGACAGAATTTAGAATGGCTTTTTCTCTGTGAACAATGGAGTCACTACCCTTATGTTACTGGAAGCAATAGTGAAGCAGAAACAAGGTTGTAAGTTGACTATCTAAAAAATTCTGGAGCAAGTTCCCCCGAGTTCAGCAGTGGGCAGTGTATATGTCTGTCTTCCTTTTGCAAATCAGATACTAGCTATTGACTGATGCAGGATTTCATGTTAGAATGGCAAATGATTTTATCTATAATGGTAATTCTTTTGTCTGTATAATAAACTGGGAAACTTATTTGTAATGCCCAGATCCCAAGTTGAAATTACATCGCACCATCAGTTTATACTGGTGCTATGGTGATGCAAGAATTGAAGCTACTGCTTCTCTCATGGTCTCTCTTGGCTGCTACCTTAGCTTCTCTACTGCATAACTTTGTGCTGTTTAGGAAATTTTGTATTGCATTATCAGAAAAATGCAGCACTTGCTCTGTGGCACTGCTTATTTCAGATGTGCCATTCAACTACTACTTCTTTTGGAGTGCTCTGAACAACTCTACCATTGACATAAAGATGGTTTTACTTCATAAAGATGAATTATTTCATTTTTTTTTCTAATAGTGAGTTGTTTTTGTTTTCTTTAAATCAGGAAAGACCTAGAAACAGGTCAGTATTATGTCAGTCTTATCCGTGTCTTGATATGGAAATTTTCTTTCCATCTACTCCCAAAAAATGACCTGTGATGGATTCAGTTGATAGGAAAACTATTATGCCTCTTCATGTTATGCTCATAACTTTAAAAGATACAGCTGGCCACAGGAATTTTCCAAATCAGCCCAAAATATTGATTTTTTTTTTTTTTTTTTTTTTTTTTAACTGCAGCTCTTAAATTTAAAAAAATTAAGAATGTTTTTAATTTCTTAATTTCAGGAGCTGCAGACATACAAAAATCAAGGTTTTGCATGGTATCCCTGAGACCAGTGTATCAAACTTTAATCATCTTTAAGAAGTGCTTCATCTCCTTCATGTAATATTGGGATTGTCTTACCTTAATACCATAAGGTTAAGTTTATGATACTGCTTTGTCAACACTTTCATGTTTGAAGAAAATCATGAAGGATGTACAATTTTTTAAATTTAAAAATGGAAATGTTGACCTACGTTAGAATTAGTCCATGAAAGGTTCATTCGGAAAATACACTTCTTTGAATGATGTAGCGCATTAATATTTTTTTCTTATTTTATTTTGGGAATGACTTGCATCTTCATAATTTAAAGAGAGAGAGAGCCATGAATCCCTATCGTAAGTATAAAATTTTTCTTCTTTCTTCTGACCTTCCAGGGAGTGTTTGGGGGGGGTTTAAATGATTAAACTGCTTTCTTCAGGATTTTGGCTGCTCAGTGCATTTACTGAATTCCTCAGTAATGAACCATATTACAGTTCTTGTGCAAAAGTAAATTGGTACCTGCTTTAAAATGTAGCTGAACATCTCCAGATGCAAATATTTGAGGATGTTGCTTATGATATGGCATCTGGGTCAAAGAATAAGCATGGAGGTTAGTTATTATGTTTTAAAGCAATTTTTCTATCTATATGCTTGAGGATATTCCAAACTTTGCATGTTTAATACACAGCTAAGACCTATGTGATATCCTTAGAACAGGGCCATGATGGATACAGTTATGCCAGTTTGGTTATGGGAAGGGCTGTCCATTTTGCCCGCACACAGGTTAAGCTAACTGTAATGAAGAACGGACTGTTTGGCACAGAGAAACGTAGTGTCCTGGTATTAATCTTTCTGTTGTAAGAGCTGCAAGGAAAGCCTTGGAGCTACTTCAGGCTTCATTGAAAGTATTGAATATGTCTTCCTGAATATTCCTGTGGGTGCATATAAAAATATATATACGCATGCACAAATACGTATTTATCTCTTATGTCATAATGTATATGACATAAGATATCAACATTAATATTTGTTCCATGCCGCTCAAATGCACTGTTCTTTAGTACTGGACTTCCTGTGAAGAAATTTGCTGAATGGTTTTCCCCCCCAGTAACACACGCGCACGCACACACACCCTTTGTTTAAAAGACTAATTGAGAGTCTGCTTACACTTCTTTTTTTTTTCCAGCTTTCAAAAATTAATTTTACAAACAGAATGTAATCCAGGATCCAGTTTACTTTCAGCAAATAGGAATACTCAAGGTCTTGATGCTTCGTAAATTCATTCTAATATTCCTTAGAGAAATGTCACTTTTGTCAATTCGTTACCCTGTACGTATAAGAATGGCAACCCAAATTCTAGCTACAGCCATTAACAAAATAAGCCTCGAATTCAGTCCTCTTCCTGAATATGTAAAAAATTAGTTGTTTACATCAATTCTTCAAGAACTTTGATCATTTTAGTTCATCTTATTTATCTAGTTATCTGGTGGAGTACCAAGAAAATACAATAAAACATTCTGCACTTTTCACAATGAATGAGATGGCTTAGATTCAGAATTCATTCCTAAACTCAATTTATTTGAGTGTTGATGAAGCCAGGTTTGTATAGAAAAAGGTTAATTTTCTTCACTCTTCAAATGACATATGAGGACAGACCAGAATTAGGAAGTCTGTTCTTCCTAATTTACCGTTCAGCAAAAAATGGGGAAAGGATGGAAACACTGAGGGCCTCTACAATGTTCCTTCTTATGCCATGTGATGCTACAGCAACAGAACCAAGAACAGGTTCAGATGAATTTACATGAGTTGTTGGGGATAAGTAGTCCATCAGAAGGTCCTAACATATTTTGGCAACTCTATAGGAATCTAGACAGTTACTTTTCTAAGAGTTTTCAAATGGTTTATTACTCAGTAATCTTTCTCAGAGAGGCTTAATGGGGAAAAAGCTTGTTCTTCACAAGTTGGTCAACATGATGTTTCATAGTCATAGTATTGGAAGGGTCCTGCACAACTGAAGGATGCAGACTTTCTGTTCTGTCCCAGACAAATGGCTACCTAGCCTCTCCTTGAAAACCTCCAGCATGGGAGATTTTCTGTAACTTGTCTGACCAGCTTTTTCCACTGGTCAGCTGAGCTACCAGTAAATACATTGTCCTGTGCTGCCTGCCCCCCCCCCCCCCCCTTCACTCCTCCACTATTACTTTTTATTCTTGCCGCTCCCCCCGCCCCCCCCCCCCCCATTTAATCCAAACCTGCTTTGTTGAAGTTTAAACCCACAGTTTTGTGTCCTGAACTTTGCAGCAAGAGAGAATAGTTGTTCTTCTCCTCCATTATGGCAGCCTTTTACATATTTGAAAACTGCTGTCATGACCTACCTGAGTTTGTTTTCTTTTCTCCAAGCTAGACATACTTAGTTGTCTCAACATTTCCTCATGGCTTGCACTCCAACCTCTCAATTGTTGTTATTGCTCACTTGGGATTCACTCCAGTTTTTCCATGTCCTTATATGAATTGAGGAATCCAGAACTGCACACAATACACTTACTCCGGCCTGTCTAACTCGTGGCCCACATGGCATTAATTTGCAGACCCTTGACTCCCACCCAGCTGCTGCTCCTCCCCTCACTGGCTATAGCAGCAGCCAGGGTCTTTGCCGCCCCCC